CCACCGGGCAGGAACAAATCACCTGCAAGCGGAAGACAAACATCCCACGGGAACAGCCCTGAGCCGGCCAGTCACCTGGGAGCCCCAGCGGGACATGGTGAGGTTCATCTCTCGGGGACTGGTGGCCCCGGATGAACCCCCTGAGCAGCCTCAACAGATGCTAAGCCTCCGCCTACACCATCACCCCACCCCGGGCACACACCCAACAGAGGACCCACGAGAAGGCCCCTCCGCAGCGGCTGCTCTCCGCCGCCCTCCCCAGAGCAGCAGAGTCGCCGTCAGTGGGGACCTCGGTTAGCAAGCAGCTAAGACTTGGCTGCGAGCAGAGGGGCTGCAGTGGGAGCCCACCCCGAGGAGAGGCTTGGTGGGGTACCCACCAGCGCGGACCCCCAGCTCCCCTCTGCATGCGTGGGGTCGCCCCCAGCCAAAACGCAACCATATGATGTCTGCATTCCAAACACCCACAGCCATGGAGCCGATGCCAGGCCACACGACAGGGTAGACCTGCCCTTCTGGGATCCACTCTTTACAGCCGCAGAAAGCCTCATCTCTCACCCTCGGAGTGGCTGGTGGTTTCAAACTGCTGACCTTGAGGTTAGTCCAATGTGTAACCACGGTGCCACCAGGGCCACCACTCAGTCTCACTGCCATCGAGTCGGTGCCGAATCACAGCGACCCTACAGAGCTGGGTAGAACTGCCCTTGTGAGTTTCTGAGACTCTAAGTCTTTACGGGAGTTGAATGCCTCCTCTTTCTCCTTCACAGGGGGCGGTGGTTTTGAACTGCCAGCCTTGAGGTGAGCCGCCCAATGCGTAACCACTGCCCAGTCCTACGCCCTGCGGTGATTGAGCCATGACAACTGAGCACTGCCCAGGAGAAGGTAGCCACAGGAGGACACGAGTGGGTGCCAGCACAGGAAGGGCAGAGGTGGGGCCCAGCAGCCTTCCCTGGGAGAAGTCAGGATGGTGGTGACCTGGGCAGGGGCAGGGACAGGGAAAGGGTGAGAGGACACCATTCGGTGTGTTGC